CAGACTCTGAGAAGTAGCATCCCTTCCTTCCCAAGGAGTTCTTGCTTTAATTTTTGGTTTTGGAGCCAAATGCAGCAGCAGGGTACTCAGGAGCTACTCCTTATTCAGTGCTCAGGGGTTACTCCTGGTCATGCTGCAGGGGGAGGGTTGCGGTACTGGGGACCAAACTCCAGTGTCCTGAGTGCAGGGCATGTGCTGAACCCACTGAGCCATCTTTAGGGCCCTTTCCTGCTGGGCCTTTTTTATCCTTTTGGTGTCTGGGCCACACCTGGCTATGCTGGGAGCTTACTCCCTACTCTATGCTCAGGGGGTCACTGCTGGCATTCTTGGAGACCATATGCACTGCTGAAGGTAAGACCAGGGTCAGCCATATAAAAGGCAAACAAATGCCTTAACTTCTGTATTATCACTCTCGCCCAATTAACTTCTCTATAACCCCAATTCATTGCACTTAAATTATTCCAGTGAAATTTGCACGCTCGCCAGTCGCTTGAAATGACAGTCTAATTTCCTTGCTCTCTGCCCACCTGAATTTCCCACAGAGGAAATTCAGCCAGTGTTCACTGCAGTTATGACAGCGATTCGTCCAACCGAGTGATGTTCTGCACAGTATTCTGATCACTATTATCAAGCATGTCTAGAGAACTCTGGTTTCACATGTTATTTTTTTGTAATATCTGTCTAGACAAAGACTTTATCTTCCACTTCCCTGAGGAGAGAGACATGTTTGAAAGGCATCGTTTTCATTAAAATGTCTAACCTGATTTTTTTTTTTAGAAAAAGAATAGATTTTGTCATCTTTTCAAGATCATTAAGCTCCAGCGTTCCCAAATAGCTCAGCAACACAGTGATATCATTTTCTTTTATTATTCTGAAAACTATACTGGCCTCATAAGACTTCAACTTGATTTGTCTGCTGTGGTGCTGGTCTCGACCTTTGATTCTGTGACGAAAGGATTTTTGGCTTTATGGTGGGAAGAGCAGAGACAGGATTGGTGGGAGTGAGGAGAGAGCAGATTTGCAGAGGCACAGATGCTCCATATGTGATGGGAGACAGACTCGATGGGAGTCGTGGATGGGGGCTCTGTGTGTCTGGCCTCAGCCAGATGCTTTCGTTGCACTGTTTCCTTTATTCCTTTAAGCCTCTGAGATAGCAAAACCCCTATTTCTTAGTCTGTGAGAGTGGGAAATCTAAATATGATGAGGAAGACATTTTTAATGAGCTCCCCCAGTTCCTTGGCTAGGCCAAGCATTGGTTTCTCAGGAATAGAGAATTTCTGGGTTGTTCCTCTTGCCCCTCTCCTGTCACAGAGTTTGGAAAAGACAGTAGAGAAAATATGTTTCATGTACCCAGCTCTACTCTCTAGCCCTCAGGGTTTAAAACGGGGTATGTTTTCAGAACATTCTTTGGTCTGAAGCGATAGTACAGCTAGTACTTGCCTTGCATGCAACCGACCAGGGTTCCATCCCTACCGTCCCATATGATCCCCTGAGCACCGCCAGGAACAGTGTCTGGCCAGGAATAGTCCATGAACACCAATGGGTTTGCCTCACATCTCTCTCTCTCTCTCTCTCTCTCTCTCTCTCTCTGTCTCTCTCTCTCTCTCTCTCTCTCTCTCTCACACACACACACACACACACACACACACACAATGAAAACACAGTATCTTCTTCATGGTAGCCCACTGTCATAAGTGTATGCCCATGTTTGAGACTCTCATTACTTGGTTCATTGATTCTTTCTTTACATTATTGCTTTTTCAACCAATTAGAGGTATTCACTTTTATAAAGAAAGTCAGGAAGATTGGGGATGGCATCTCTCGTATAATGGACAGCACCTAAGAAATCTTTCAATGCCTCCAGATTGCGGGCATGCCCTCGGGAGTGTGGCAGAAGGAAGCACAGAAGGGTGAACCCCAGCACTGAGTCGGATGCACCCACTTACTTGAGTTAAGGACATTATCAGAAAGTGGCATGAAAGAAAAATGTTCCAAGTTAAAGCTTCCCCCAAAATGTTTCCACTAAAGCTCCAAGCAGAACTTGCAGCTATTTACTCTTCTATCAGTTCCATGTCTGTCTGTTGCAAGTCATTTAAGAAGGGCAGGGGCTGAAGCCAGAATGTTTCCTTGTCATCAGAACTTGAGCATGGTTTTGACACGAGAAAACCCTAACTGTGTTCCCTCCCTGGGCTGTGATCAAGGAGCATTTGGTGTCACTGGAAATAGTCCAAGCATCATCTTGCTGGCAGAGAAATGGCCCAGCTCTACAACTCACTGCAAAATAGGACATGATGCCGCCAAATCTTCCCTGGTCTACTGGTCCAGGCCAACAACTCTGGAGTCTTCTCAAAATGGGGGTGGGCAGATCCCCCTTTCTGCCTGAGGGAACAGCAGCCCAAAGCCACACCTGACTCCTCTGACATAGAAATGGCCCAGCTCCACAAGTGAACCTCATCAGACAGCCAAACTACCAAATCGGCCCAGCTCTATCATCCTGGAGCCACATACGCAGCCATGCAACACCTCTGAATTTTAGTACTGTCAGACCAGTAGGATAACAGCAAATCTGATTGCAAAGTTGTGACAGGGCTCACTGAGCCTCAACAATGACATAGAAGGCTCCAGCGACCAGCCAGCACCAACCAGCCCAGTACATACCCAGTGACTTCAGTAATATCTTATGACATATAACAGAGATCACATATTGACTTTTATTGATCTAAGTTTTGACAATTCCGTTTGCCTTTGTGTTGTTAACAATATGAAGTAAATTTGTGCCTGCTAAGGGGGCAGCTGGGGTGGTGGGGTGGGTATTGGTGGAGGAAGGGCACAGTGGTGGTGACATTGGTGTTGGAACATTGAATACCTGAAACAATTGTATTAGGAACAACTTGGTAAGTCACAGTGTTTTTATTTTTATTTTTATTTTATTTTCCCCCTTTTTATTGATTCACCGTGAGGTACAGTAACAGAGCTTTCATATTTGAGCTTTAATCATACAATCATCAAACACCCATCCCTTCACCAGTGCACGTTTTCCACCACCAAAGTCCCCAAAGTCCCCAATGTTCCAACATCAATGCCACCATCACTGTGCCCTTCCTCCACCAATACCCACCAAACCTACCCCTGCCTGTGTGGCAGATAATTTGCACAATACTCTCCTTCTCTACTTTGTTTACCTTCGATATCTGAGCCCAGTCCCACCACCACTCATCACTGTCACTGTCCTGTTGTTCATCAATTTGCTCAAGCGGGCCCAGTAACATTGTGAGACTTGTTACTGTGTTTGGCATATCAAATACATCACGGGTAGCTTGCCAGGCATTGCCGTGCGGGCGAGATACTCACAGTAGCTTGCTGAGAGGGGCGGAGGAATCGAACTCAGGTTGGCCATGTTGGCTGCGTGCAAGGCAAATGCCCTACTGCTGTGCTATCATCGCTCCAGCCCACCACCACTCATAGCTGCTGAAAATGCAGTCCTAGACAGTGTGCTTTGTATTGCTTGTTATGGATTCAATATAATGCTCTAGGAATTCTAAATTTTTAATAATTAGGGTCTGGAGAGATCACTGTAGCAAGTTGCTGGGGTCCAACATTTGTTAGTGTGTCTCTGGATCATGGCCGTGTGGGAGCTTAAGTAGACCGTGGCCAGGTGTGGGCGTCATCTGAGTCCCAATGGGGTTGAGTGCGGGAGGAGGACAAACTCCTCCCCTGTCCCATGAGGCCTAGCGTTCCCACCACCGCCACCCGTACACGGAGAGTTTTGCTGAGTTCTAGAAGATGGTGGTCGCTGGCATTCCTAGAGGGCAGGCAGAGGGATGGCACCTGCCCCCAACTGGAGTGGCCTGGCAAAAATGGCCTACTGCAAAGTCAAGAGCCCTCTCTGCAGCAAGTTGCTCGGGTCCGAGATTCGTTTCTGTGTCTCTGTTACGATGTTTTTAAAAAAGAAGAAAAGAAAAATAGAGCCTTTGCTGCCTTTGGGCCCAAATAGCCATGGAGAGAACATGCCTAAAATAGAAGCAGCTCATCATCTGGAAGCTCAGTCGATTCTGGTCTGGGAAGATCACCAAGACTTCCAAAATTGCCCAGGGCCACGTGGGTGACACAGTCTCATCAATGGATAGATACCTGCACATGCATAGCTATAGGTATCCACACGCAGGAAAAAAGAACAAAATATAGGAGTCAGCTACATTTGGGGAAGAGAATGCAACCTGGGGAGAAGGGGGACATATTTGTAGATTTAATCTGATTCTATATGTTTTTGCAATGTATAATAAAGAAACTATTTGTAAAAGCAAGGATTTAAGTTGTGTATAAAGAGATAAACAGGTTAGGAAAGGGTTCCAGAGACCATTTCTTTTCTCCTTCATTTACTAAGTAATTAAGAAATATTAAATAATAATATGAAATTATTACATGGGAGAACATAAGGATTGATACTTTACACATAGTATTTCAAGTGTATTGGTATTATCTGTGGTAATAGACAATATCTAAGAAATAATCAATTTTGGGCAAACTTCTCAGCTATAGATGTTTCTAGTCAGTTTTTGTAATCCCCAAAGTCTTTTCTCAAGGTTGTCTTCTGTGGTTCTTTCTTTCTTTTATTTATTTATTTTTTTTTGCTTTTTGGGTCACACCTGGTGATGCACAGGGGTAACTCCTGGCTCTACACTCAGGAATTATTCCTGGTGGTGCTCAGGGGACCACATAGGATGCTGGGACTTGAACCCGGGTTGGCTGCGTGCAAGGGAAATGTCCTACCCGCTGAGCTATCGCTCCAGCCTCTTGTGGTTCTTAATACTGTACTTTTACCCCACTGGTGTTCAGAGCCTCAAAAGGACAATTAACAAAACTTGTCTTTTTGCAGGGGGCTACTTTCTAGCTGTGTAAACACCTATCTTTGCTTCTTGGACCAAGTGATGCAATAGACATATTCTTAGCACCCCAGAAGAGCTGAAATGGAAATAATGAGCTTTTCCTCTCCTCCCCAGGAAGACTATGATCGTCTGAGGCCTTTATCGTATCCAATGACTGATGTCTTCCTTATATGCTTCTCTGTGGTAAATCCAGCCTCATTTCAAAATGTGAAAGAGGAGTGGGTACCAGAACTTAAGGAATACGCACCAAATGTACCCTTTCTGTTGATTGGAACTCAGGTAGGTCTTTGATTTTACCCACTTAAGGTTGGGCTGGAGAGAGAGTCCAAGGAACTAGTGTGCAGTTTGCTTTATTTGGGAGCTAGAAGCACTGTATGGGCCCCTGAGCACCACTAGTAGTGACCTGAATATAGAGCCAGGAGTAGCCCCAAAGCACTGCAGAGTGCCCTCCCCACAACAAAAACAAACAGAGAATGAATACTCTCCTCTGAGCGATGGAGGTGACCCGAAAGGTAAGGCGCATGCCATGTGTGCGAGAACCCTGTGCTCCATCTCTGGCTCAGGTACTGCCCGGGGAGTGGCCCCCTTGTCCCCAAAGAGTGATCTGCCTGACCTGTGCCTCTCAGACTAACACTGTAAGGATTAACAGTTGTTTCAATTCAGTTGTAAGTTGTAACAAATTGAGTCGCATTTGGGGGAAGAAATTGTACCAAGGGCAATTTCAGTAGTAGTTTATAAAAATTAAATTGTTTATTTTTTTTAATGTAGGGATTAAATGGTTGTTGTTTTTTTTAATGTGGGGATTAAATAGTTTTTTTTAAATGTGGGGATTAAATTAATGTGGGGATTTATCTTTAACAACTTATGATATTCTGGAATATTATTGATGTTTTCAATTTAGATTGATCTCCGAGATGATCCCAAAACTTTAGCAAGACTGAATGATATGAAAGAAAAACCCATATGTGTGGAACAAGGACAGAAATTAGCAAAAGAGGTAATGGAATCCTTATGAAATTTAAAAATAAGCATAAATGAAGCTCCAGGAGTAATAGAAGCTACTGATTATTTCTTGTGCACTCATGTCTGCTAGGCACTGTGTGGAGTGCCCTCTGCCTGGGCTCGTTAAATCCTTCCACACCCAGGAAAGAGGCTTAGTGGTGTGGGCTTCCTTGTGTGAGGTTCTGCGGTTCGTAAGTGGCGAGCTGTTTTCAGACCAGGCCTGACTCAGGCCCAGCTCCGACCCTGGGCTACACCATCAAGAGCTTTTTTTCCAGTTAAGTTCTGTGTCTGACGAGATGCCAGAAATAAGTATCTCTTGCTCTTGCTCAGGAAGCCTTTCTTCATCACTTAAACATCTGCACTGTGCCTGGTCAAGCTCTGTCGTCAGCTTAGAATCCTGGAGTGGCATGGAAGATGGTTTAAACCTGCAGTTAAAAGCAAAACCTCAGGACTGGAGCGATAGCACAGTGGGTAGGGCGTTTGCCTTGCATGTGGCCGACCCAGGTTCGATTCCCAGCATCCCATATGGTCCCCCGAGCACCGCCAGGAGTAATTCCTGAGTGTAGAGCCAGGAGTAACCCCTGTGCATCGCTGGGTGTGACCCCCACCCCCAAAACAAAACCTCGAGGGCAGAGAGGTAGTGTAGGAGCTAAAGCTTTCCTTCTGGCTGACCTCATTTCAGTTCCTGGCACCACAGGGTCCCCCGGGCATCATGGAAGCTCTGAGTCCCACAAAGGTCGAAGGTGGCTTAGATGACTCCAGCCTTGCTGAGCTCCACGGAAGACCTCTCCCTGAAAAAAAAAATTACAAAACAGAAAATAATTCAGTAGCTGTGAAGTGTGTTGAGTTTTCTAACTCTTTAGTAAAAGCGACTAGAAAATGCTCCCATTACAGAAAGAATATGTTATACCTAAGACCTTCTAACGTATATTCTCCCTCACCCCAAAGCTAAGCTTACTTTTCTGCCAAGTGACTAACATTATTGAATCCTATTTTTTAGATGTTGTGATTCTTATAGCACTTTTGTGGAGACAGCGTCTAGCTGAGTCACTGTCACTGTCATTGTCCTCCCGTTGTTCATCGGTTTGCTCAAGCGGGCCCAGTAACGCCTCCATTGGAGACTTTGTTGTTACTGTGTTTGGCATATAGAAGACATCACGGGGAGCTTGCCAGGCTCTGCCGTGCAGGCGAGAGTAGTTCTTTTAAAATGTACTATCAGTAGGCAGAAGAAACCAAGAAAACTTTTTGGATGACAGGTTTTCCTAAGGCATAGATAAGTAGCCTCACTCACAAATCACGCTAGAAACTCCACATATTTAATTTTTTGATCTTGAGAAGAGAAGGAATGTCTAAATGTCATAAAGGAAAAATAAAAATAAAAATATTTGTAGTATTATATTTTTATGTAGATGATTTTAACTACATAAAAATATAATACCACATGAAATGCCAGAAATAAAATTAAGTCATATAACAAACTTGACAGGTATGGCAGAAAAGTGTGAATTAATATTTTTAGTATACAGAAACCTTTTGCAGTGGATTACTCAGAAATAAACCTGATAGGCATACCCCAGTAGAAAAATGGGCTAGGACCATAAATGGGAAGCTCAGTTAAAAACTGCAGATTGACCTTGAAGACAGAAAGTATATTTGGGAGTGGAAGAATAACTGGTGACATTGGTTGGAGGGAGTTTACGCTGGTGATGGGATAGGTGTTGAAAAACTGTATGCCTGAAACCCAACTATGAATTTGTAAATTACATTGCCTAAATAAAATTACTTAAAAATTAAAGAGAGAAAGTAGATTCAGACACCTTGGTCAAAACTTCAACTTCTGTGTACAAAATTATCACCCAAAAGGGGAGAAGTCTTTTAACAGCTCTGTTCCAAGCATGTAAGTAAATGAGCACTGTTGTACTATTACTAACGATCACGTTGATGATCATTGAACATGTGCAAGAAGCTTATAGTGAGGCCCACAAAGGAAAACAGAAAAAAAAAGTTAGACATCCTTTCAGACATTCTATTCTTAGAGAATTAGCAAGGATCTTGTTTTGGGAGATGGCTTATGAAGATGCTGAATTGTTTATAGAGGCAAAAACAAAAACCCCAACAACAGTGTATCTACTAAAAATGCATACTAATCATCTGCTAAGGAAAAAGTTAAGTGGTTACCAGACAGTATGGTCCCATTCTAGATCTGTCTGCTGCGTTGAGCAGTTACTTCCTTCTTGAGACACTTCTTCAATGGGCTTCCTTGGATGCTTCCTTGAAAGGGTCCCTGAAGGTTTCCCCCACTCTCATTGTCTCGTCTTCATTTCTTCAACCCCATCTCTGAATGTTGGATCAATACTCAGCTTCCTCTTTTTCCTTCTGTGCCCCTCATTCTCAAGCCCTTGAACTTGTCTTGCTGTTGATGTCTCAAGTTCCCTAAATGTCTGCATTGAGCCTGAACCTATTTCCTGAACTTATTTCTCAGCTCTTAATAATCCCATTTGAGTAGCAAAGCACTGAAATGTAATGTGTCTAAACCCGAGAGTTTCTCATTTTACCCTCCAAGTTACCCAGGTCAAACACTTGGCCGCATTTGATGTTTTTCAGACCATAACACAGTCAAACCTTGGGCACTCCAGATTGCTTTACTGTAGAATATAGCCAGCATCCTCAGCCTGCTCACCATCTCTCCTAAGCCTGGATTTCTGAACATCTTGACTGACCTTTCTCTTGCTGTGTTCCATGTCAGTCGGGTTCCAACAAGGCCAGATCAAATCTTTTAAAACAGGAGCTCAAATCAGGTCACTGTTCTGCGCAGAATCCTTCCGTGGTTTCCCAGCACACTCGGAGCAAATAAGGCTGAAGTCTTTCCTGGGGCGTAGTCTTTAAAATTTTTTTTATTTTTTTATTTTGAATCATCCTGAGATAGTTACAAAATTGTTCATGATTTTCTCTCTCTCTCTCTCTCTCTCCCTCCTTCCCTCCCTCCCTCTCCGGCATTGTGATTTGTGGTATTGCTAATGAAAGGTTATCAAGTATATCCCTTTACCTCAACACTCGGTTCTTCTTGTCTAGAGTGATCATTTCCAACTATCATTGTCATAGTGGCCCTTTCTCTGTCCTAACTATGCTCCCCCTACCCCTTGGTGGCAAGTTTTCTACTATGGACCAGTCCTCCTAACCCTTGTTTCTACTGTCTTTGGGTATTATACTTATGTTGTTTTTAAATATCCCACAAATGAGCACAATCATTCTGTTTGTCCCTCTACGTCTGATTTCACTCAGTGTGATACTCTCCATGTCCATTCACGTATAAGCAAATTTCATGACTCAGTTTTCCTAACAGCTGCATAGTACTCCATTGTATAGATGTACCATAGTTTCTTTATCCAGTCGTCTGTTCTTGGGCACTCGGGTTGTTTCCAGCTTCTGGCTACTGTGAGTAGTGCTGCAGACGGCCCTGTAGCCTGTTCTTTCCTGCTTATGAGCAGACTCTTTTCTATTCATCTGGCTTTCTAACCTCAGGCCTCTGTTTTGGGTGGTTCCCTTTATCTGGGATGTTCTTCCTTCTGTGGACATTCTTCTCCCTGACTCCTTTCCGATCTCCGCTAAAAGAACATTTCTCAACAAGACCTTGCCACCTCTGGTCCCCGGCTGCATCTCTCCTTTTGTTCTCCAGGCCACGTATTGTTTCCTGACATTCTTCCTCTATATTGGCTCATAGTCTTCACTTTAACGTGTAAGCTAGGGGAGATATAGGTAAGGCACTGACCTCATACTCGTACTTACCTTGAATCCCAGCATCACATCTGGTCTCCTGAGCACTGCCAGGGTAGCCATAAAAGCCAACTCCCCCACCCTTCCTCCCCAGTGCCCCCTCCCCCCATTGCTCCATGAAGTGTAAGCTTTGAAAGAACAGGATTGTGACTGAAGTCTATTCCCTGCTGAATTTTCTTGTCTGCTAAGTCAAAGTGCTGAGTACTTCTCAGTGACTGAATTAATGGTGGTCTCAGACACAGGTCTGCTTAGGAGCACAGAGGCCGCCTGGCACCTTCTCTTGCCTCTCTCCCCCTCACTGCTGCACTGCTGTTCCCCGAGGGCTCCCAGCTGAAACCCCCCACCCCCAGGGCTTGGCATCTGGCTCCATTTGCCTGGGACCCTTTCCCCATGCACCCCTTAGACGCTGCTTGGCTGAGTTTCCCTCCCACAGTTGCCCCAGGTGCTCATCTCCCTTGCTCTTTTTTTTCTCCCTTTTCTTACCCATCTTTCCTGAATTCCCTTTTTTGTGGCTCCCTCCTCTGGAAGAACTAAGCAGACGAGAGCATCACACTGTGGGACCCCGCATTTCCATCCAGTTCACTGGCATACCCCTAGCATCTAATACTATGCTTGGCATAGAGTCGGTACCCGGTAAATAATTAATACATTTTTTCATAGAAAATTTCTGAAAGACCAATCACAAGCATGTATCTACTCCAGGGTATTGCAATTGTGGATGATGACTGCATTTTTTTTATAATGCTGTATTTTATCATTTTCCATCGAAAGAGTGTGTTTGCATCATATCAGATTGTAAGTTTTATGTGTGTGTGATTTTTCTTTCTCTCCCTCTCAGATAGGGGCTTGCTGCTACGTGGAATGTTCAGCTTTAACCCAGAAGGGATTGAAGACTGTTTTTGATGAGGCTATCATAGCCATTTTAACTCCAAAGAAACACACAGTTAAAAAAAGAATAGGATCCAGATGTATAAACTGTTGTTTGATTACGTGAGAAACGTCTTCAGTGGCAGACAGGTCTGTTCCTCTTAGAAGGCACCTGAAAGGCTACAGCTGAACCCAGACCTCTTAAGAGTGATGCAATTTAAACTTGAAGGAAGCAGAACAAAACAAAAACAACCCTTTCTTCAAAATTCTATCAAGTTCATTGAGAATGTTTCTTATCGGTCTAAGAAGCAGCCAACAGCACCTGAAGCCACAATCTATTATAAATATTTTATTTCAGCTAGAAGGTACAATCTCTCAGGGTTTCATAGTTTAAAAAGCTACAATCACATCATAGTGTAACTACATAAACAAACAAACAGAAAACAGCAGTGCTGTAAATGGGACTGCCTGCCTGAGACCAACAGATTAATTGTTCTTGTATGTAAGATGCTTCCTATTCCAGTATATCCAGAGTGGTGCGATGACAAGGCCAGCCACGTAGCCAAAGGTCGCTCCCAGTGTACAGGAAATGGGCCACACCTGAGGAGAGAATAAATGAGATGAGGAGAAGAGAACAAATGTTTTCTTATTACTTGAGCACAAGTTAAGTGTAACCTAAATATTTCTATATTGCAGTTTAATGTGCTTTCCTACAGAATGCCAAAAGTGTAGTAAGGTCCTAGATCCATTACCATGAACACTAAAAATGTACACGTTTTAGTTAAGATGCGTGCAACTGTAACCAGGCTTCTGGCAACTGTAGAGTTAGTCTGATGCTCCCCAAAATGCATGAGGCACATGCAAAAATCACAAATTAAAAATCTGGGTCAGACTTTGCCATAATTCTGGACTCAATGTAGCTCTCTGAACCGGTTGGTAATTTGGTAAATCTTTTTAGTTTCCATATTGGCTTTGTATATCAAATGAAAGGAGGAGTGTATATGCTACGCAAAATGCAACAAACTTCCTTTAAATCAATTGGAAAGCAAAGCCTTAGAATTCAAGCATGCTACATGAAGCTCAGAGCAACTGCTTCCTTAATGAAACGCCACCTTGCGGACAGATTTTGGAACCAGCGCAGAAGCTGTAGAACCACAATGTATGTATGTTCTAGAGTGTAAGTTAACACAATACTGGCTTCCAAATACCTGTTTTCTCCAGCTATATTATATCATCAAGCTAGAAGTAAATAATATTGATTTATCTCACCCACAAGCAGTGCAATTTGGTTCCTAGTGAAAGACTGCTTAAGAGAGAGAGGGAGAGATAGAGACCAAACTGCCGTGTTCATTGTGAAGCTTATTTGGTCACAGGAACCAATGCTAAGCTTTGTTTGGGGGAACGAGCCATACATGTGTATCAGAGGCGCACCATCACACTTACCTGATTAAGTATCTTTGTTTAATGCGTCTTTGCCTTAGTTCAAAAACCACGCAACAGACAGCAGCGGTAGACGAAAGTTTCAGTGTCAACAAACTACTACAGCTCAGAGAAGCAGAATTAACCCAGAATCCCCCTCCCAGCTTTTCCCACCTTCAAATGTGGGGTAGCACTAACGGATAACATTGTCTCTGGCGAGCTTCTATCGATTTCCAGGATGAAAGCTCTACCTATTGCACAGATTGGGTAATGAAACACTAAACTTCTATACTTGAAAATGACAGCCTTAAATGCTCCTAGCAGTCACAAATCTAGGATGTACTGTCTTGTATGTAAGCTTTGTAGAGATTCTTTTTTTTTAAATCCAAGCATCAGTCCTCCTGCGGAAGAGTGGGGTCCCTGGATACCTGACAGGAGCTTTCTCCACTGGACATGGACCGAGGTTTCTCTGTGGATTTCTCCTTTCTCCCAAGAAGTAGCGGCTCACATAACGCGTCATGACCTTATGTATGCGCACATGAAATCATATCTAATTCTCTCATTTACTTTTGGTCTGCTATTTTAGATAGAACTGAAAGGAACTGTATACACCGACTAGCATATATTAGTTAAATTGTCCAATTCATGGTATAAAAGAATTAAGACAGTAAAGTATTATATATTTCCAACCTGCCTTTGGGGGTTTGATGGGGATTTGTTTTGGTTTTTTCCTCCTCAAATTCACACCTCAGAAACTCTTCACACATGGTTTACTAGGTAATGAAGTTAAAATTTAGAATTTTTCCTGTCCTAAGAGAAATGGACTAAGTGTCTGGAAGTGTCACTTCTGGATGTCCCCCATTTCTGGACCGGGGCTCTAATTGATTCCTCCATTGAAAAGGGAGGCAGAACAGATACACGGTCACTCCCATTTATCGACTCTCGTGATTCCTTTTCCTCCTCCTTCACTATAACCGTTGCTAGACATCACATTTTTTAGCTTCACGTTCCTAAGATGGTAAATATTGTGTACATAGACTATGACAACTCTAAGCAAAGATGATTGTCTCATCCGAACCTGAGGTGCCTTAGGTGCTCTATTGACCTTCCTGGGGTGTAGAGTTTCCCGTTGCTGATCAAGAACCTTTCCATGGCTTCGGTTCTTTAGTTTCTTTTTTGCAAAAATACTTTCTGCCCTTTAACTAAAAACAAAACATAATAAAACAGAAAAAAAAAACAACCAAAGACTTGTTTTCTATTCATGAGCGGAATGTAGAAAAACTGCCTTATTTTCAGAAGCATGTCTTCATTAAATAATTTTTAGGTTTCAGTAGAAATTCAGACTTATCGCTGGAACAAACAGATCAAAGTAATGAAATCTTCTGGTCAATAAAGTACTTCAAAAAATCTCACTGATACTAGTTTTGTGAGGGAATGCAGATACGTTGCTTCAAATAAGGTCATGTATGAACATAAAAGAAGCTTTTTTTCCCTTTTTTTTTTGCTTATAGGTATTACAAAGTTCTTAGAAATAATTCTTGGGTCTCCCTGAGATTTTCTTTAAGACTTTGCTAACCGCTACCCCTATTCTATCTCAAAAGGTACATTTTTCGGTTAGTTCATGTTGAATTATCATATTTCCAATGCATTGAGCCTGAATTAATGGTTTTTATTGTGAATTATCTTAGTTACTTTAGGCATTGCTTCCATATGATTTTTAATTATTAATTTTAAGTCACTGGTTTGTTGGTTGTTGCTTCTTGAATGTTACTTTAACAGTGTCCCTTCTTCATATATGGGGTTGCAAATAAAATAATCTGCATAGTTTACTATCTCTGGCAAGCACTGGACTTCTTCCCTCAGTAGTCTTTCTCAGCATCCTCTGTCAGCCCTGGGGACGACACTCTCCAGCTCCCCTGCAGCGGCCGTCTGGGCCTCTTACTGTTTGGCAACATGTGAGCGTCCACCTGTGTGCGGGTGAGCACTGTTTCGTGTGGGGAGAGTCACTGGCCCTCAAGAACATCAGCTAAATTCCCACCTGGTTACTCAGTTCTATTTCAGTCACTTTCTAACTTCAGTATGACTCTTTGTCTACAAACACATAAACATATTTCCATATATGTTCTTTAAAAAGCTGCCATACTTTGGCTCCAAATGAATGCCAAAAGTTTAATATTGGTTAGAAAGGGCTGTCTAGGGGCCAGAGCGATAGCATGGTGGGAGGGGGCTTGCCTTGCACGCGGCCAACCCGGGTATCATCCCCAGCATCCCAGGTGGTCCCCCAGCACCGCCAGAAGTAATTCCTGGAGTGCAGAGCTAGGCATAACCCCTGAGAACTGCCGGATGTACCCCCCCAAAAAACCTAAACCAAGTGTAAGTGAGGGATTAGAATTGGGAACATTTAATACTCAGCATCTCAAGAAACCCTTGCCATGAGCAAATTTAAATGATGGAATGACTTAAGAGTCTACTCATGACAGGCTTCAAAAAATAAGTCCTCAACTGGAACACTTGTTTTTTAAAAAAGAATTTTTTTAAAATAAAAGGACTACTTTGCTGATTTATATGGATCAAGAAGGGGAAGAGGAAAAGGGTATTGGAGAGATTGTCCACTAATAATACTATTTCCTACGACCTGAAATTGCACTTAAATGTTTTTTAACTATATACCATGGCAACAAAATTCATTTCTGATTTGTCAAGCACTCCAAGTATAATCATGCATTTTCATAATTAGATCTTAAAGAACAATCTCCTTATCTCACCATCAGATCTTCCTATTTAACATTTCTCATAACACAAATAGAATTTTTTTTAAATGGCATCTTCTATTGGACAGTTCATCTGCATTACTGTATTTCTCTGCATTCTGGTATCTGAGGTGGCTACCTATAATCACCTGTTTCAGAAAAACTCAGAACAAAGACATTCATGTAAAGGAAGTCATTCAAAGGTGCTAGCCACTAGAGTGACCATCTTCTATTTATCCATTTTAAAAATGAATTTTAAAGGTTATTTAGTCACTAAAAGTAAAAATCTTATTGCATAATAAAGTGTTATACAATAAAAGTATGAAATTGCTGAATTACTGTGAAAAACCAAAGCCCGTTTACAAAAATGAATAGCTACATAGTATGAAAAGGTCCCTGGCTTAAAGCAATACTTTTATTCTTTCTCTCATCAAACATTTCCTATATTTTTCATCACTTAAAAGTGTTGGGCCTGGAGCAATAGCACAGTGGGTAGAGTGTTTGCCTTGCATGAGGCTGACCCGGGTTCAATTCCCAGCATCCCATAAGGTCCCCCAACCACCACCAGGAGTAATTCCTGAATGCATGAGCCAGGAGTAACCCATGTGCATCACCGGGTATGATCCAATCAGCAAAAAAAAAAAAAAAAAAAAAAAAAAAAAGTTCTCAAAATAATCAGTATTAACAAAGGCTTAATATTACAGAGTTCAGGTACCAATAATTAAGTTTTTTTTCTCAAGCAACATTCTAGCCAAGTAAGCTAAAAATCCATAATAAACAAATAGGTATGTATGCTATCTTTCTAAAATCAATATTATTGGCACAGGAAAGACTTTTTAGTTATACAAGATTTTTTACATGTGAAGAAGATTCCATATTCTAATCAGGGATCACTATAAAATTCTGCTGATAATTTTAGGGAAAATGTATTCATTTAACTATAATACTCTATATTTCTCAATTATATTTTCAAGCATATTTTACATACTGTAGAATTAGAATGAACAACTTTGACTTTTGTATTAGGCGTCTTGACCCTGCCATTTGTTAAACGTGTGACCCTGGGAAAGTCTCCTGAACTTTCTGGGCCTTGGTGTCTCATCTGCACAATGGGCCCCACCCTAAAACTCTCCTCTTATGACAGTGACGTGAATGGGTGTATTCTGGTAATCCTCTCTGGCACAGCACCAGCCTGATGCATGCAAGCTATTAGTGATGACAAGCTTTTCATTCACGGTGTTCTAAGATATGTGAGCTAAATGCTATCATGCTAGTCTAGAACACTGTTACCCAGAATCATACACCTCCTTAAATGCTGCCCACTAGGGTATTTCTAAAGCTGCTACTATTTGAGAAAGATCCTGCCCTAATTTTAAATACTCAAAAAATCTTTTTGTGGAGCCAGAGAGTAAAACAGGTAGGACACTTTTGCTGAATGTGGCAAAAGCCCGGGTTCGATCCCAAGCATCCCATATGGTCCCTGAGCACCGCCAAAAGTGAACTATGAGCTTCATCTAGCTGTGGCCCCAAAACGGAACAAAACAAATGACAATAGTCCTTGCCAAGACTATGCAAAAGAGTCAGCTAGGCCAGCACTAGTCTCTCAGATGCAAGACCTACTAGCTGAGCCCTATCAGCTGGGACTACGATTATCGTAATTATCCTCTAATGAACCCACCTTTTAGATCTCAAGTCCCTTCATTAGTCACCCTAACTTTTCCCCATGCCTGAAACATACATTATAATCATACAAATCAAATCACATTAATCTTCAGGCCTGTCAAACACTGTATAATATCACTGCATATAATGTATCAGAAATACCAATTACCCTAAAATCATGCAATTCTTAAGTATGCCCATTAATGTTAGTTGTACCCCTCATCCGCATTACTTGCAGCAATTCATTTAGTTCTAATCCTTACGATCTTTAGTCTTGGTTCATAAAACCATTACTTGTGGGACTTGTGACTTTCGAAAATATGTTTCACAGACAAATTTTAACCTAATAAAACTAGGGAAAAGGAAAAAGTGTATTTCATAATAACAGTGTTTACCTATTTTTGTATTGACTGGGAATAAGGGTAAGTCATTTGAAACAATCTTAAATCAGCTTTTAACTTGGAGGTGCAGTGGCCACTCCAGATGCACGCGCAGGGTCTGCTCTGGGCTTGGGGTAGCCCCTGGGTGCTCCAGGACCGCAGGGTGCGGGGATCCATCAAACCAGCCCTCCCGCATGTGCTCAGCCCAAACTTAATTCTGCCTTTTTATTTCTACAGAGAAGAGATAGGATTGTCTGGCTCACACCAAGAGGTAGAACAGGTGAAGCCCAGAGTGCAAAGGTGTTTGGGATTTTTTTTTTAGGCGCCAAAGTGCTACATGTGAATTTATTAAATTTAAAGATCTAAAATGTACACATATCACGCCAGTTAAATAAGATTCTCGTGTGGAGAAAGGCAATGATGTCGAGTCTCCAGCTGTGGAGGGATGGTGACACGGGGCCCTGACTGGAACCCCAAGCGGACATGTCCCCTCCCTCTGTCCCCTCTGACATTTCTTGTGTGTGGAAACGGGAATGGAACCCACTTTGCACAGCTGCTGTGAGGATGAAGTGACTGCGCTGACAGTGCCGAGTCCCGCCTACTAGAAACATCAGAAGATACACGAAGGTTCCATTTCTTTCTATTCCATAAAAAACCTCAGTCAGAAGGGACACTTGTGTGAGGGGCAAATATCTTGAGCCTCTCCAGAGAAAACAGAGATGAATTTAACAATATACTCTAGCAACTGAAGGACTATGGTCGAATAGACAAGTGACACTCTCAACACTTGAGAACTCAAATGGAATTTTTGTACTGCTAAAGATAGTAACCAATTTAATAGGTCACTACTGTATATAACATTAATTAAGCAGTAACTGTGTCAGATGCTGAACTGAAAAATTTTTCATTTCATTTCATCATCCTGTTAATCGTCGATTGCCTCGAGCAGGCCCCAGTAACGTCTCTTTCATCCTAGCCCTGAGATTATATTCACGGCTATTTAGGAGAATGAGACCCATCATTGTTACTGGTATTTGGCATATTTGGTAGGCCACGGGGAGTTTGCCAGACTCTGCCCTGTGGGCAGGCTACATTCGATAGCCTGAAAAATAATTCTATTTATTCCTCACTAGTAAGTGACAGATCTTAGATATCAACATATTAATAAAACACATGGTTTTAAGATTTTCATGGCCAATTTCCCTTGCTCAGATTAACCAATATTTCTTATTACCCATTTATTTTCTGTAATATAAAAATACCAGCTAGTTTTGATACAAGACATTTTTCACAAAAAAACTCACAATTATCTAGACTATAAAATCTTTCAGAACATACAAAATATGAATAATGATTTGCTCTAAATGACTATTAAATAGTTAAATCCCAGTCCATATAATATTTAAGCATCTGTTATACTTACAGAAAGATATATCTGTGTGTATACATGTGTATACACATATATATACATACACATATATGTATGTATATGTATGCATATTATGTATGTATGTATATATGTGTATACACACACATATATATGCTTTGTACCAAGTGAAAACTAAAATAGTTATAGACTAGCTATTCAATTAGATCAGATAAAAAACTGAATTGTAGTGTACAACTTTCCATAGTCCAAATATTTACTTTGGCATTAACTATCATTAAGTTCTCCCTAGGACTGGAGAAGGCTAATTGAGTTGTGAGCAATTCAAATGCTTCTTTTCTTGCTAATATTTAAAGGAGAATCATTAAGGCAGGAACAAAAGATGATTTTAAGAAACAACAAAGATGATTAATAATAACATCCTCTTCTTCCCTCCTCTGAGACGGAAGGCTTCCTTATCATTACTTACCAATTATCTAAATTCATGTTAGCAAGTGAGGAAAAAAATTGTTTTCATTCAGACTACATCTTTTGAATGGGCCTTACTGGGAATTTACTGATGAACAAATTGCACAAAAAAAGTTATGAATGCAAAATTAAACACTGTAATCTTATGTTTTGCTTTTGGAACTTTACACAAAGTCATATGTGAGTATCAAGTAGAAAAAATTAAACTAAAACACATAAAAATAATTCTTTTTTAAGTGTCTTGCCCACACCTGACAGTTCCTTAGGGCTGTGCTCCTGGTCTGGTGCTCAGGGGCGATTTGGGGCCCAGATGCTCCAGCCCCGTAAGCCCTTGCCCTGCCTTCAAAGAAGGTGGAACTGCTCAACCAGTCTTATTTCTCTGTCTAGAAGATAAACCAGCTTACAGTTCAGAAATACTTGCTGTTATCTGATCATATCACATCTGGGTTATAAGAAACAGGAAACTAAAAGTATCTTAATATTTCTTAATACATTGCCAATATTATATTTTTGATAATAAAGCCTAAATATTAGTATCTTTTGTGAAACTTTAATTTCTAGAAAGAAATATCCAATCTCAAAATATTTTTATTCCATTATCTGTTTCTCTGGCAGATTCTGTCGGCCTCATAGGCCTTACTAAAGAAGACAGTTTCCCTACTTATATCACTTTTTCTGTGTTTAAGAATTATGAGAAATAAAACTAAAAAGCTTTGCTAAAAGTAATGCAGCAAAAGAAAATAATGGAACCTCAGTTTCTCTAGTTCATTAGTAAGAAACTGGCTAAAAGGGAGTATAGGTGATTATCACTGAACAAACAATGATGAATTATACACTAATTCTATTTAAGCTACCAACAAAATAATTTTAAACGGTTACATTAAGTGGAAAAACAGTTTCAAACACTCTAAAAACCCAACTGCAAAGATAATTAAACCACCAGTAATCCAATCAAATCAAACTTTTTAATGAAGACCAATACTTGTTACATATTTAAATTAGCTAGCTAAAAGTCTTTTTAAAAAGCCATTAAGATGGAAACTCTGGGGGCTGGAGTGATAGATAGCACAGCGGGTAGGGCGTTTGCCTTGCACGTGCTGACCTGGGTTCGATTCCCAGCATCCCATAAGGTCCCCTGAGCACCTCCAGGAGTAATTCCCGAGTGCATGACCCAGGAGTAACTAACCCCTGTGCATCGCCAGGTGTGACCCAAAAAGCGAAAAAAAAAAAAAATGGAAATTCTGCTCCATTTACAAATCTGATATTGCTGATTTGGGTCCAGCTCATCTCTTTTATTGTAAATAAGCACTGACGTAGAAAAGTAAGTCAGGAACTAAAAGTCTGAATAAAAAAAGATGGATAAGTGAATTGTAAAGAGAAATATATTTTTTACACAAACCAAAATCCAGAGTTTACAAAAGAATGTCTGCTTCCCCAAGTATAAGGCATCAAACCTTCACATTCGAATATATTCTATGAATGCACATTTCCTTATCAACTCAGGACATACTGATGGCATGTGTCACTACTTTGTATTTAAATTTTTTTGTGTGTATCCGAAAGTAATGCATCTACTGTAAATCAGAACAATTTCTGTGCATCATCTTCAATGACTGTCCTCTGATGGTAAGGGATGACGACATATGAATCCCTATCTCCCACTGAACATTGAGACAAAGAATACAAAAAGACCACGTTTATCAGCTTCCTCTGGTATCACAACATATCCCTATTTCAAAGCCTGCCTTTCGCTTTAAAAAAAATATTTCAAGGGGCTGGAGCAATAGCACAGCAGGTAGGGCGTTTGCTTTGCACGCAGCCCACCTGGGTTCGATTCCCAGCATCCCATATGGTCCCCCGAGCACTGCCAGGAATAATTCCTGAGTGCAGAGCCAGGAGTAACCCTGTGATCATCGGGTGTGAATCAAAAATTAAATTAGAGTAACCCTGTGATTGTCGGGTGTGAATCAAAAATTAAATGAAATATATATATATATATATATATATATATATATATATATATTTTAAGATCCTAATTCGTTTTGGAGGGGCCGGAGAGAGAGTACAGCGGGTAAGAGGGCTGCCTTACATGTAGCCTACCCGAGTTCGATCCCCAGCATCCCATATGGTCCCCAGAATACTTCCAGGAGTAATTCCTGAACGCAAAGCCACAAGTAAGCCCTGAGCACTGCCGGGTATGGCTCAAAACAAAACCCAAAACCTAAACAAACCAAATTCAGATGGCATCAGCCAGGTTAAGAAATTATGAATCTAAGGCCCTTAAGAGTAGGATATATAAAAATTATAAATACAGGGGCTGGAGAGATAGTACAGTGGGTAAGGGTACAGTGGGTAAGGTGCTTGCCTTGTACACACCTGACCTGGGTTCAATCCCCAGCATCCCATATGGTCCCCCAAGCACTGCCAGTAGTAATTCCTAAGTGCAGAGCCAGGAGTGATCCCAGAGCATCACCAGGTGTAATTTAAAAATTTGAAAGAGAGAAAAAATCTGCTAAAAATTATAGATATGAATTCCTTCAACTTCTAGTCATTTTGAAAACTCCAAGACACATTTACAAAGTAAGTTTCTTTTACACTATTACAAAGTAAAGTTTCTTTACTACACAGGCATAAAAATAGTACTGGCAGACAGAAACAAGATGAGCTGACACCTATGGCGCCAAGACTCACTCCCAAAAGAAGTCACCCGTCTGGGCCCAGAGTAACAGTACAGTGGGCACAGAGCAAACCCAGGAGACCTCTTAGAGCCAAGAGGAACCCCTGAGCATCACTGGGTATGACACCAAAACAAACAAACCCACAAAAGAGTCATGCTTCTGGCAGTGACAGGGGAAAAGGATTCCCAACTTGACTGAACGAAATAATTTACAGACACAGCCAGGTTCAAGTGTAGGTTATTGGCATACTGTTAGAAACCATGGGACACTGAGCAAAACTTACAATGAAAGCAGGTGTTGCATGCTTCTGTTTCACACGGACAAGAGTTTCCTTTCCTCCTTAACGTTTTAAGAGTGACACTATTCAAGGGCCTACTTAGCTGGCTCTCGTCTCAACAGTCTATCACTGTACCTTATACGATGGCTTTAAGGATGAAAAACCAACCTGCCATGGTTTCTCCCAGTCGAGTGGAATAGGAAACGCACCCAGCCAGCTGCCCAGGAGACTAGAAACTGTAGTGATCTGGAGACTGTTCTCCCAAATGGAGGTCACTCTGTAAAAACAAATGCGCGAATCTGTCATGGGGAAGTATCTTAGCTGCTAAAGATCCAAACACAATTTATGCGATAGCACAAATTAACACTATGCATTTTTTTCCACACTCACTTAAAATAAGCGTCTCAGATTGACAAATATTTACTATGACTATTAACCATGTTTTTTAGGTGGTAAGTAAGACATATGTATCGTGAGAATCAAAAACACAGATGAGCATGAGTCTCCCCTTCACCCACAACTCTGTATTCTGTGATGAGTTTATTACATGACCTTCCAGAAGTACTTTACACAGGAGAGTCGGAGAGACACTACAGCGGGTACACGCAGCCAACCCTAGTTCGATCCCCAGCATCCCATATGAACCCCGAATTCCACCCAGGAATGATTCCTGCAGAGCCCTGAGCATCACCTGGTGTGGGCTCTCGCTCCCAAAATTACTTTACACAGGTACAAACGGAGACACATTCAACTGTTTCGAAGAATATATTCGTATGTGTACATATGTACACATGTATCTATTCTTCTAAACAATAACCACCTGAGTTGGCATTTCCCTTGTTAATAATACACTAGTATTCCATTGTGTGGGGGAAGGAGCACTATTAATTCAACTCGTACACATTCCGTTAGAATAAATCAACTCCACTTTGTGGGGAGGAGCAGAAAACAAAAACAAAGTATTTTAGAAGATGCTATAAATGTTTGACCTCCCATTCCTGTTTGGGCTGGAGCAACACATAGCGGGTAGGGCATTGCCTTGCACGCAGCCGACCTGGGTTCAATTCCTCCGCCCCTCTCGGAGATCGCGGCAAGCTACCGAGAGTATCACGCCTGCACGGCAAAGCCTGGCAAGCTACCCGTGATGTATTCGATACGCCTAAAAGAGTAACAAGTCTCACGATGGAGACGTTACTGGTGCCTGCTCAAGAAAATCAAGGCACAACAGGTGAACAGTGCTACAGTGCTACCACTGTCAATCCAAATTCCATTCCAATTTATTAAGTGCACATATTAGAGTATAAAGGAAGAAAGATGTAATTCTGCCATTCTCTTGGTAGGTCTTAATTTTGGTGTTCCGCTAATAGTGTGATGAGTCTGGTCACAACAGAATGAAACACAGTACAGGAAATGGTATCTGATCATTCAGTGTTTAAAATGCAGGGTGGACTTATTATGAAGTTAATGAAAAGTAGTTTCATGCAGCTCATGGGGAACAAATGGGAAAACTTTTGTTTTATCAGATGTATGCCAACCACTGCACACAACATGTACACTGAACTAAGGAAGCTGCAAATGACAAGTCAGTTCTTAAGCCAATTTACTTACCAACTGCCCATCTCATTGTTCCCCCATCTCCCTGCCCTCCCACCCCACCTAACTAGAGCTGAGAAAAGGCAGGATCCAATCACTAGATATTTGTTTTATGTATTGATGTATTTGCTGGGCTTTATTCTTTTTTATGCTACTCAGTACCTCAGAATGCCAGTCAGTTTCTCCAATTAGCGTTCAGTAGAATAGAGCTCTACTCCTTTTTGGGGAGAGAGGAGGGAGAACACAGCAGTTTTTCAAAAATTATTATAACACCATTATTTACCAAGGTGTTCGTAAGTTCATGAATCGAGTTGATTTCAGTTGCATTCAATGTTCCACCACTTGTGTGCCCTTACCTCCACCAACGTCCCCAATTACCCACCCGCAACCCCAGCCTGCCCCCTTCGCAGGCACAAATAAATGTACTTCATATTGTTTGGTTACCGCACAAAGGCAAAGGGAATTATCAAAACTTGGATCAATAAGTCAATTTTGATCATTATTACATCTCACAATACTGATGTAATTTCTGAAAATTAACTGGGCTCGTTGGTGCGAACTGAGCCTTCTGGATTACTGTTTTCACTCGCTGAGCCCGGTGGTCTTAAATGCAACTTTCCCATCAGATTTGCTGTCCCCCTACTTTTCTGACAGAACTATGAATTTCAGAGGTACTGTGCAGTGGCATATGCAGCTGTGTGGTCCAGGCACGATGGAGCTGGGTGATTTGGTGTTTGGCAGTTTGGCGGGGTTCAGTTGTGGAGCTGGGGGCTTTCCATGTTGAAGGATGTGGGATGTCCCTGCGGTGCATTCAGGAGGAAGGGGAATCTTCCCACCTTGAGAAGGTCCCTCCCAGAGTTGTCAGCCCCGGGAAGATCTGATGGAATTATGTACTTTTGGAGATTTAGTTGTGGTGCTGGGTCACTTGTCTGCTAGAGAGATCCAGCAGGGTTTTTTTGGTTGGTCTGGTTGCTTGTTTTACATAAAGAACTGTACTATATTCAACTTGTTTGGTCAGTGGTGTTTCAAGAAACAAATAGGGCTACATTAAACTAAGAAGTTTTGCAATTCAAAAGAAATGGTGACCAAGATCCAAAGGCAGCCCACCCAGTACCTAACTGATAAGGGGTTGGTATCAACGCTATATTAACACTGGCAGAACTTTACAAGAAAAAACATCCAACCCCATCAAAAATGGGGAAGAAGAAATGAACAGAAACTTCTTCAAAGAAATTCAAATGACCAAAAGGCACATGAAAAATTGCTCTACATCACTAGTCAACAGGGAGATGCAAATCAAAACAACAATGAGATATCATCTCACACCACAGAGACTGGCACGCATCCAAAAGAACAAGAACAACCAGTGCTGGCGCAGATAAGAGAAGAAAGGGACTCTCATCCATTGTTGGCGGGAATGCAGACTGGTCCAAACTCTTTGGAAAATAATATTGTCTTTCCTCAAAAAACTAGAAGTTGAGCTCCCATTTGACCTAGCAATACCACTTCTGGGATATACCCTGGGGACCCCAAAACACACAGCAGAAACGCCCTCTGCACTCCTAATTCACTACTCACAATAGACAGAATCTGGAAACAACCTGAGCGCCCAAGAACAGATGACTGGATAAAGAAACTATGGTGTATCTAAACAATGGTATATCTAAACTGCTACTATGCAGCTGTTAGGAAAAATGAGGTCATGAAATTTGCTTATAAATGGATGGACATGGAGCGTATCATGCTGAGTGAAATGAGTGAGGAGAGGGACAGACAGAGAATGACTGCATTCATTGTGGGCTATTAAAAAAATATGGTATGAGACTAATATTCAAAGACAGAAAAACAGGGGGCAGGAGAACTGGTCCACCATTGGGAGCTTGCTACAAGTGGTGGTGGTGGGGGGAGGGGAGCGGGAGTTAGAATAGGGAAGGGACCACTATGACAATACAATAACAGTTGGAAATGATCACTCTGGATGAAAACTGAGTGTTGAGAGTAGGTAAAGGGATATACATGATGACCTTTCAGTATCTGTTTTGCAAACCATAATGCCCCAAAGAAGAGAGAGAGAGAGAGAGAGAGAGAGAGAGAGAGAGAGAGAGAGAGAGAGAAGGAGGGAGGGAGGGAGGGATGGATGGACGGATGGATAGACGGACGGACGGACTGGAACACAGGAGGTGGGAAATGTAGACTGGGTGTTGGAACGTTGTATGACTGAAACTCAATCTTGAACAACTTCGTGTATCTCACAGTGATTCAATTAAAAAATAAAAAGAACTATACTATACATACAATTTAATATGATAATTTTTCTTTTATCTGGCTGACAAATACTGTTTAGCCTTCAATTAACAAACAACTTCTCCACGTTGCAATAAATAAGATGACATGACTAGAGACACCTTTTTTTTCTTTCTGCTAGTAAGAGTTTCCTTTTTTCATTTTAGAAAGCCAACTGGATTTGGAAGAACAGGTACCATTTGATCTTAAAGACTGAGGAGCCGCAAATATAGAATAAAAGGATGTAAGTAAAACTGGTTGAGGCTGAGTGAAAAAGTTGAAAAAAATAATGTTGGGAAAATATGTGAGAGTTAAGATTTTGAAAAGGCAACAGCTCTTTTAAGTTCAGTAAAGACTTTCCCTTCAAAAATTCTTTCCCAGCCAAGCCATTTATTTAAAGTGTTCCAACTCAACATTTTTAGTGTATTTAGAGCTGTGCCACCACCAAGCCTAAATGCAAGCCAATAGTAGTCATTCCTTATTTTCCTCCCTCCTTCCAAGCAATCACTCACCTACTTTTTGCTTCTACAAATTTGCGTATTCTACATTTCATACAAATAGAAGCATATAATATGTGGTCTCTTATTTGGCTTCTCCCTCTGAGCGTAATGCCTTCAAGGTTCACTCATTTGGTAGCGCTATGCTGCCAAATCATATTTGACTGTGTAAGCATACCAGATTTTTGTCTTTTCCATCCATCGGTTAATAGGCATGTGAGCTGTTTCCACTTTTGGATCATTATGCATGGTTATCCCATAATCATTCGTGTATACGTTTTGTGTAGACATATGTTCTCTTTATCTTGGGCATGATCATAGGGCAATTATGTGCTTAACCTTTTGAGGAATTGCCCATCTATTTTCCAAAGCAACTGAATCTGTTTACACTCCCGGCAAATGAGGATTCTAGTTTTTCCACACCCTGTTAACATGTTATTATTGTGCATATCATATGTAAGTCTGAAGTGGTATCTCATTATGGTAGGTTTTATTTATTTTTGCTTTTTGGGTCACACCTGGCGATGCACAGGGGTTACTCCTGGCTCTGCAGTCAGGAATTACTCCTGGCGGTACTCAGGGGACCATATGGGATGCTGGGAATTGAACCGGGGTCGGGCCTGGTGCAAGGCAAATGCCCTATCTGCTGTGCTATCTCTCCAGCCCTGATATTTGTAATTTTAGAAGTCAAACTATATGGTTAGGTATTAGCCCTCTGTCAGATGTATGTTGTAACTACTTTTCCCCATTTAGTTGGGTGTTTTGACTTCAACCATTATTTCTTTTGCAGAGCAGAAGATTTTTAGCTTGATGTAATTCCTTATTATAGCTTTTCTTTCTTTCCTTTTTTTTTTGGCCAATGAAATTGTCTCACCTAGACTCTACTGGGGTCAATATCACTGAA